CCCCCCCAGCAGACTGGGGAGACGCAGAGCAGCTTTTCTTGCCCCAGAGGACGGGGGGCGGCGGACCGCAGTGCATCTGGGCGTCCCGCCGCTCCCGTCCTCCGGGGCGAGAAAAGCCCCATTCGTACCTGCGGATCCGACGTAAGTCAGATCCGCGTAGCTCGGGGACTGCCTGTATATAGTTTTTCCCTAAAAATCATACTCAAGCTTCTTTTGGAGTTTGGCCTAAATCAAAACATTTTCCTATTTTAGAGAGCTTGTGAAGTTTAATTTGGGATGTAGATCAACATTGTTGTCCAAGAATTTTACATTCCAATGAAATTAGTTTAATTTCTTGAATGTCTGTAAACAATTGAGTATTTTCTAGCCTCAACACTATTGCAAAACCAACTATGTGTATTATAAAAAGTAGTAGGGCCAAAAGGAAAAAAAAAAAAAAGCTAAGATCTGTTTTGAAATATATCAGAAGGCCAACAAGATTCTCCACCTTTCCTGCAGCCACAATTCCAGAAAATCAATTGGTGCATCTCAGAGTTGATAAGGGTCTGGACAACTTGTGCAAAAATCTGCAGGCTGGCCACTATGGAATCCCTTTATCTGTCAAGGGACTCTTTCAGCTCTCTAAGGGTATGTCTACACTACCCCACTAGTTCGAACTAGTGGGGGGAATGTAGTCATCCACAGTTGCAAATGAAGCCCGGGAAATTCAAATCCCGGGCTTCATTTGCAACTGCGGATGACTACATTACCCCCGCTAGTTCGAACTAGTGGGGGGAATGTAGTCATCCACAGTTGCAAATGAAGCCCGGGAAATTCAAATCCCGGGCTTCATTTGCAACTGCGGATGACTACATTACCCCCGCTAGTTCGAACTAGTGGGGTAGTGTAGACATACCCCAAGAGCTTTAATAATGCTCCTTGATTAGGTAAATTAGATCTTCATGATGATTGGCCAGTCTGCAATTCCTCCTTTTTAAAAACTCCACTAGAGTCCCCATCCTTTCTTTCCTGGTTCTTCTTGAGTACCGTTGGATACTTTGGGTTATTCGGGGTGTTCTGAAATCAGTCATTCTTTTCTTTAGCCCATTTTCCTTTAGTCCTTCCTTCTACAAGCTCTGCTTTTCAAAATGACTCTCAACGTGCTTTGTGTCCTAGATTATATGCCCTGGGATGCATTGGCCATGAAGAGTACACCAGTCTTGGATGGGGAGACAGTCTCAGACATAACTTGGTCCTGAATTGTTGATGGTCTAACACATCACAACCAAGGCCTTCAATTGACATTGGAGGTAGTGAAATGGGAGGTGGAGATTGCAGAGCACCAGTTTTCTCATCAACTGAGGAGCTGAGCCACTCTGTTATACATGAACTAGAGCCTCTTTATTCCTGTTATCTTCATCCTCAAAAATAGCATATGATTGAAATACAGTCTGAAGGTAGCCAGTGTTAGATTACATGCCCATCTAGTCATCTTCTTAACCCTTTCTATCCTTTTCGCTATTTGAAAATTGCTAGTAGTAATATCCAGATTATTTAATATTGCCATCTGCACTACCCTCTCCCTATTTGTTGTCATATAATTTTCACCAACCCAGAAGTTCCCATGTATTGAGGAAGTCCTCAGAAACTTAGTAAACCATGTTTTAGTCAGTAAAGCTTCTGCTGGTATTTCAGGCTGGGTTTTTCTTTTCTCAAGCTGTTTCATTCTTGAAATATAAATTTTAGGGAGCTTGCAAAGTATCATTTGGAACATAGTTTGCGGCCTTCCATTATATACAGGGGCTGCATGCTCTAGAAAATTCTTGCAGCAAAGCCATTTTAGACTGGTAGGAGGGTGGGGCCAACCCAGTAATAATGTCTGAATTAGTGGCAATTCCATTTATTAGAAGATTGTTGTACAGGTAAGAAATGTAACTGTATTTTAGGGAGCTTGCAAAGTATCATTTGGAACATAGTTTGCGGCCTTCCATTATATACAGGGGCTGCATGCTCTAGAAAATTCTTGCAGCAAAGCCATTTTAGACTGGTAGGAGGGTGGGGCCAACCCAGTAATAATGTCTGAATTAGTGGCAATTCCATTTATTAGAAGATTGTTGTACAGGTAAGAAATGTAACTGTGTGT